CTATTTTGGTGCCAACATCCAGCTGCAGGTTCTGCAAAGCTGCTGAACAAAAAACCCTGCCCGCTTACAAGTAGGAGCAAGCAGCAGAGCTGGGAGGAGACGTTTGCAGCAGGGACACAAACCTCCCAGGACAACCCCCCTATGAGGAGGGCTGGGACCAGCGAAGCACCCAGGGCACGAGCTCCCCAGTGCGAAGCCGTGGAACGGGGCACAAGCTCCACACAGCCCCGCGGTGCCCCCGGGTGCCCTCACCCCTGCGGGCAGCTCCCCCGGGCCGTGTTTTGGCAGCACAGGGACAATTAGCGCCCGCTCGCTGGCTGCACAGCCTCCCATGGAGATAAGGGCCGGGGGAGAGGCCGCGCGGGACGGCACCGTGGGCAGGCACTGCTGAACCTGGCACCGCTGCCCTCCAGCGCAGCCTGGCTGCYCCTGCCCTTCATTGGCGATGGCTCCCGCCTGCCCCGTTCCCTCTGGACCAGATCYGGCTCTTTCCAGGGCTCCACGTTGTGAGGAGCCCTGTGCCCATGAGCCAGGGCTCGGCTGCAACAGCAGAGCCACCAAAAGAGAGACTCGATGTCRGGGATGACGGGCACAGCCCCCCCGGGGCAGGGGCAGGTTGTGCTGGGTGTCCCTGTGCTGGGGGACCCCCATCACGCCCAGGGCAAGGGCGGCTGGCAGCGGCTGTAAGACGGAGCCTCCGCTCCCGCTTGGCCGGGAGACAAAGATGACAAAGGAGAAGAAACCACAAAACCAGGAGTTTCCTCCCGCTTGATTTCCCACTGGGGGAAGGGAAGTGACTTTGTGTTGCCAAACACTGGAGCGGGGACACGGCCAGGGCAGCGCCACGAGGGGCAGCCCCGAAGCCAAAGCAGGGGGAGGAGAGAGGGGCAGGAGCCCCCGCGCCTGCGCCAGCCYCAATCCAAAGCGGCTCCTTTTTGGGGGGACGCGGAGGGGACCGGGACAGCCCCGACCCGTGGGCAGCGGGGCCGTCGCAGCCCCGGTGCCGCCGCGGGAGGGGATGCCGAGCCCGCCGCTGCTCCCAGCCTGGCCAGACGCCCCAGTTTCGGTTTCCATTCCTGCCCGGCTCGGGCCCCGTGCCCGCTTTGCTCGTGTCCCCGTGGGCGACGGGAGSAGGGAAGGGGGAGCCGCAGGGCCGCGCTGAGCCGCTCCTGCCGCGCTCCCGGGCGGAGCAGGACGCGGCTCCCGCGGCAGGAAGGAAACCTCCATTTCCTCGCGGGCGCCGGGGCTGCCGGAGCCGGTGCCTCGGAGCGGCTCTTGCACAAGGCGAGCGCTCTGCTCCAGCCCTGGCTGCAGCCCTGTCCCCACAGCYCCAGGACAGGTCCCCTGTGCGCGACCGCCGGACCCTTTGCCACTGCTGCCCCTGTTTCTGTCCCCAGCGCCGCCCTCCCCTGCAGGCTGCAGCCCCGGGGCAGTTTTTAGGGCCGGGGGGGCAGCTTATTGCCCCGCGGGTCCACAAGCCTGCCCCGGGACACTCAGCCAGCAGGGCAAGGGGGTGGCGCAGCAGCGAGTCAAGGCGCCCCCATCGTGTCCCACGAGCGAGTCACGGTGCTGGGCGCCCATCGGCACCCAGGTGGCCTCAGCCCGGCCCCGAGCAGCGTGGGGACACCCGCACCCTGGGGCGCTTCGGCCGCGAGATGCTGCGAGCAAAGGCAGCGCCTCCCAAGTGCCACCGGCTTCCCGGTCTGGCAGGACCTGCTCCATAGGAGAGCGGCAGCCCTGGGCRCTTTGGCACAGGGAGGGTGTCCCAGGACAGCCAAGATGCTCCAGGATAACCCCAGGAAAGGGAAAGTCACCCGAGGAGCACCGAGAAGAGACCCACAATGACAAGCAGGGGTTAAGATACCTGCACTCTTCCCTGTTTCGTCCCGATGCAGCCCGGGTCGGGCTTGGTTCTCGGCCCCGTTGAGCCGCATCCTGGACCCTTCAAGGGGACAGCGGTTGTGCTCCCTGCGGAGGTCTCCAAAGCGCCACCAGCCCCTTTGCTTTTAGAAAGGACCGAATCCAAACCRGATCCAAACCTGACCGTGCTCTGTTCAACTCAGCATTATGGCTGAGCACAAGCCAGCTTAAACACAGGAGACCCATTCTGCCTTCGCTCCCCGGGTGCCAGAAGCACCCACAYGTGCTATTCGCAGCACATGTGTGTGCACGCAGGACGGGCGGATGTCCCATTTCTACCTGCATCTCCCTCCAGCATCTTCTCGAGCCTCTCAGCCTCTGGGATGTCCTACCAAGCTGCACTGAAGCCAAGCCTTAATATGAAATTATCCTGGCGGAAGTGCTCACATTACTGGGGTTGGGTTTCAAAACAAAACTCGTGACGTGCGAAACCTGCAGCGCGCAGAGAATACCCGGAGGTTCCTTTCGGCACCACTCCTGGAGCTAGGACAGCTCRGGCCCTCGAGGAAACACGCTGGCGATGGGAAGATCCGAGCTGAGAGCTGGGGCACAGCGGGGACAAGGGGACGCTCAGGAACCCAAGCACAGAGGGTCAGTGCTTCCCCAAGGCAGCGACTGCCACCGTCCCTCGCTATCCGGAGYGCATCCCGCTGCCCGGCCCAGAGGCTCCACAGCGCCGCAAAACAGAGCGGGAACCAGGGGATTCCTGCTGTGGGCACGGGGCTTGGGCCTGGGGGACCCTGTGACACTAAAGCCTCCTGGATGCTCCACGGTCCCTGCTCGGTCCCTGGGATGCAGAGGGACCCCACGTGCTGCGGGAGCCTCTTTCCCGTCGCCCATGGGCGCTGGCGAGGAGCCTCCCAGTGGCAATGTCCTCCAGACACCAGCTCGTGTCCTCAGCCACCCCGAAACCAGTTTCGGTGTCCACGTGGCAGAGTAAACATCGCGTCAGAGTAAACACCACCTCACCACGYACCCCCGCGGCGCCGGCGCCGCCTCGTCCCCAGGGAAAGCAGCACCCGCTGCCTCTTCCCTGGCACGGGAGGGAGGACTCGTGTTTGCTTTAGAAAAGGAAGCGCCAGTCAGAGAACTTGCGTGTCAGAAGAGGCGGAATTGGCCAATCCTGGGCTGGTTCAACGGTTTCAGTGCAGCTGGAGAGCCGAGCAGTGACCTTGCTGCTAAGGCAGCCCCAGGCCGGGTGAGCAGCGCTGGGCTGCCACGGGGCAGGGCAGGGCGCAGAGCGGAGCCCACGGCGCCCACGAGCCCTCGCAGCACTTGGGACCTACCCCATGACCTGCCTGCACGGGTGTGCATCGCCCCAGCGCAGCCCGGCGAGGCCTCTTCTGCCCCCGGCTCTCAGCCTCTTCTCCCTCTTCCACGGTGTCCTGGCAGACCAGAGAGGCACAAGCAGGGCAGGAGAACCTCACACTCATCCTCCTCATCCCAGCCAGGCGGGTTTGCAGGTTGTCATCGAAAGGTCCAGTTCCTGAAACAAAAGGCATCATCTGCAAAGAAAGAAATCCTTCCACGTCATCCACTTAGAGGCGAAACTTCTCCCACTCTCAGATGCAGCAGTGAAGATGCCCAGACTCACCTTCCTGAGGAGGTCCTCACTATTGTATTGACAAGAGGTTTTGCTTCCTTTCTCCAACAGGAAAAAGTTGCCCTCTCCCGGCAATACAACACATGGTTGTGTGTTTCTTCAGCAAACCCCAAGCTTTTCCGTAACGTTTCACTCCCACTCAGTGCTTTACCAGACCAACACACAGCTTGAAAAGCTCCACCCCAGCACCCAGGACACAGGCTGAAGAGGTCACAACATACTCACATTAGGGAAGGGTTTGAAGCATTTCTCTGCACATGCATGGACTGTAGCAAGCAGAGGGAATGTTTTCATGCATATTTATACATTTAAAAAACGCATTCCTGCTCTGACCTAGCCCTGAATTGCAGTCCTCTGACCGCACGAACACAATAAGCCAACAGCACTCATTCAAAAAAATATTTATTAGCTCAGTAAAGTGACCTGTCATGGCTGCTGCTGCCAGATCAAGTTATAGAAAACCCACACGTCGAGCACCCAACTCCTTTTAGCCGGAGACAGTGTAAACATCGCCGCACACGTACGGCACGTGGCTGCGAAYGGGAAGGGCCGGGAGGCTCGCGGCGGCCTCCGCACAGCGCTGGCGAGCTGCACGKTCCCCGTCGCTGCTTCGAGCCCCCGGAGCGTCTCTGCAAACCCGGCGGGGYGAGCGGTGAGAAGCAGCCGGCAGCGGCGAGGACGGGGCGCGCGGACGGCGGCGGCGCCGGGACCAGCCCGGGCCGGCTCCGCTTGCGGTCGAGCCCCGCGCGCTCCTGGTTCACCAGGTTTTCCGCACATTCCACAGTACGTGTGGGCCTGAGAGCAGTATCTTCGCGACCAGAAGGGCTACGCCACTTGAAAATCCCACAGAATGGGCTCTTGGAGAAAGCTAGAGAGAGACCCTAAATCCTCACAAGTTACAGCTGTTCCCGGCTCTTTGCTTTGTTTCTTCTCCTCCACACAACCCAAACCCGTAACAGTTCTCTCCCGCTTCCCTCGCTGGGAAGCTCACGGCGATCCTCAGGACGAAGGCTCCTTTAGGGACCCGCACAAGGCACTTGAGCCATCCGGATCCGACACAGCAGGACCCGGAGCCGCCACACAGGGGGGCTCCCAGCCGCAGCCTCATGCCCACGCGCGTCCCACGGACTTCCAGGCTCCCGGGACATCCTCTTCTTCCAGTGCCSCGTCCAGCACCAGCCCTTTGCCGGGCTGGTGCCACCTGCGCTGCTGGCCGGGCTCGCACACGGATCTGCACCCGCTTCGCTAGTATTTTCCTGGCCTTTTTGCTACTGCCTTTGTCTCCTTGCCCTGCCACCCTGCTCCCATCTGCTCCTCTAATACGTGCTGTCCCAGCTAAGAAGTCTAGAGATAAGGCAGGGCTATCGAGCTGGAAGTGGAATACGTATCCCAAAAGAACAGGACAGGAAGGCTTTAAGGCTTAAGCCTTTCTTTTCCTCTCCAAATAGGGCAGAGCATTTTGCCCTTCCCTCCTTTGGGTGTCTTTTTCCTCCCTCTTCCTCTCTGCTCTCTGACTCGAGCTCCTCGTGACCTGATTTCAGCCATCCCGAGTCTCATGGACCTGTGCCCTCTTTACACTGCTCCCCCTTTCCCCAGCACAGCCGGARAAAAGGCAGTTCCACCCAGAGCGTCACGGAAAACGTCCCTCCAGGCAAGGCCCCCCGTCACTTCTGCTCCGCCTCGTCGGCCACTGCGGTCACCTCGATGGTGGTGGCGTGTTCGTCGCCCGCCGCGGCGCCCGACGGCACCGTCACGATGGCGCTCCCGCCGGGAGCCATTTGGGTCACGTTCTGGATGGCGGTGCCGAGGCCCGGCAGCGTGAGCAGCTGGAAGGGGCTCACCACCTTCACCACGGTGCTGCCGTCCTGCATGGCCGCGGTGCTGAGCACCGTGAGGTTGGAAGCGTCCGGGTGGATCTCCACGGCGCCGGGGAAGCCGGTGCCGGCGGAGGCCAGCACGGTGTACCCGCCCAGGAGCGGCGACGCGGGCGAGCTCGCCGCCGGCGCCTGCGAGGGGCTTTTCGCCAGCACCGACGTGGGCAGCGACGACACCACTTTGCCGAGCGGGAGGCTGGCGAGCTGGGAGACGGGCACCCCCGGAGCCACCGCGAGCTGCGCCGGCGGCGACAGCACCTGGGACGTGATGGCAGCCGGCCCCGACGTGGCCCTCGTGAGCCTGGGCCGTTTCAGGGGCGTCGGGACGGAGACGGGGGTGAGAGTCATCAGCACGTTGTTGAGGTGCTGCGATTTGTGCTTCAGCTCCTTGGCCCGCTTGCGGTGCTCGTCACACTGCTGCTCCAGAGCTGCAGAGAGACGAGAATGAGCAGAGCAAACCCAGCCCGGGCCACGAACGAGCTGCCCAGGGCCCCTGCCACCGCCACACGTGCGGCGTGACAAGCTGCTCCTCCTTTACCTAGTTTCACATGCAGCAGCTTTAACGAGAAACCCACTTTTTTTTAATGCACAGAAACACACCAGCAGTGTCAAGGGAATCAACAGGAGCTTTTCTCTGAGGTTTACCTGCCAAGTCCCGCGTGTACTGTTCTCTCGAGCGATCCATCTGACATTTGTGGCTAGCCAGGACCTTCTTGACCAGGTCCAACATGCCAAAGTTCTGCACAATGTTGTTGAGTAAAACAGCATCTTAAAAAGAAGACATGGGTTTTTGAGGAAAGCAAAATTCCCAACATAAAGTATTTATCTTTCCCTGGTAAAAAGCCATATAAAAAAACCCAAACATTTGTCCAAAGACCTAGAGCTGGCAAAGAGGAAACACCAGGCGCAGCGACCCGGGCAGAACTGAGGCCACCTGTGTGGCCCCAGGCCCTGTTGATGTTGACAGTGGCCATGGACACGACAGGGCCAGAACAGCTTTCAGTAGAAGACTCTGCCCAGTTGGCAGCCTCCCTTTCCCCGCCCAACTATCACGAAGCCAGAAACACCCGTCTAATTTAAGTTTTATGAGAACGGTAGATTAAAAGCGAACCACTAACAGCATTTCCTTCTTAATTTCATTGCCTATTTTTAAGAAAACTGATGTAGTGATGGTGAGCTATGTTCCTGTAGAGCTACCCGTTCATCCTAAAGGGAGAAAACCCCCCCAAATGCCTCTGCTTGGGGGCTCTTCCCGTGCCACGCCGAGGACCAGACCCTTACCGCTGAGCTGCAGCGGGGAATCCTGCGCTCGCTCCTGCARGCCTTTTATGGTCTCCACCAGCTCCTGGTGGAACTCCTGGATCACCTCCTCCAGGACACCGGCATCCTTCAGCCCTCGCCAGAAAGCAAAAGCATCATCTGGAGAAAGAGAAAGCAAAAGACTCCCCAAATACTCAGAAGATGCAATGGGGATTTTAACAGCTCCCTCTCCAGACAAGTGGCTGCCCAGGGAGCAGCCCACCAAGGACACAGTGGTTTGCTCTGGATTCTGCTTCTTGTGCCTGCAAGTCCACCCAGTCTCTGGGTATAGGGCAGCAGGGCAAACCCAAGCCCAGCGCATACCCTGAAGGAGCTGCAACTGGAAGAATACACTTTTGGGGCATTTTAAAAGGGTGTTTTCTCCCTGTTTTCTTGCATCCTCCACCCACACCCCTGATCTGGCCACACATGCCACTGATACCATGGAAAAGGCTGTTGAGTTCAGCCCAGGATGCAAATCTAACCCCATGGCAAGCCAGAGTCAACAAGGCAGGACTCCCTCGGGGAACCTGACCTCAGCAGCGCAGCTAGAGGAAGCAGCAGGATTCCCAGCTAAGGAACATCTGTTTCCTTGGCTGCGATTACGCCAGAGCAGCAAGAGAAGCTTCCCGACGGCTCTTGTTTTCCCTGGGGCCACACCAAAATTTGGCCTGTGCTTTGATGTTCGAGTGCTTAGAAACAATTTTATACCAAGAGGAGGGTGCAGGCAGACCGCACCCGTGCAGGATATAATTCTGTGCTTTGCATAGAGCAATAAATAAATAAATAACCCCGGGGGAGGTCCGAGCCGACTTGCAAATTAAGGCAGCTCCAGCTGGGGTTCCTATGCGTTTTCCCTGCTGTTGCCGGCCCTTTTCCGGGCACCTCTCCTAACCTCTGCCCCGGATGTGCTGGGCCTAGCGCCGTGCCGAGAGCTACCTCCAACGCTGGGGCTCCAGTCGCCGCCATCCTCGCACGTTTCTATGGTGATCGTCGCCGGGGAGCCGTTCACTGCAGCCAATTGCGAGAAGAAGCAAAAAAGAAAAAAAAAAAGTCCTGATTTTTCACTGTTTTTGCCAGGCCGCTCCTGCAGAACGCGCTGCTGTTCCGCAGCGCTCCCTCCCCATCGCATCTGACTGGTTTTATTTTACTTTAAGTACTGGTTTTATTTGATATAAATATAAAGTTTATATATTTTGTAAATGATTTTATATGAAAATTTTATATAAATATAAAATTTTATATAAATATAAACCTTGCTGGTTTTATTTTATTCGTTTACTTGGCTCTCCGAGGCCAGCGGGGAGGGTCCCCGGCGCCGCGGGGCCTCCAGCCACGAGCAGCACCGGGGCACACGAGCCCAGGGCGGCTGCGGGGCCTCCCGCTGCTGCGGCCGAGCGGGGATCCCGCGGATTTGGGCCTGGATCGGGGCATTTGCAACACGGTGGGTCCCATCCCCAGCTCCCGCCGCTCRGCTCTCCGGGGATGGTGCCATCCCGTGGCACCGCTGCCGAGAGCCAYGGAGCCACCTGAGCCGTGCCAAGGKAACCGGGGCCAGTGATGCCACCGCGAGCCCCTGGGGAGCACCGGGACGCAGCTCCGGGCACTGMAACCGCGCTCGAAGCCTCCCCGCCAGCGATTATCCAGGGTTATATTGAAGGGAATGCTGAGAATGGGGCTGCAACAGCGCGGGTGCAGCACCCACCAAAACAGGCACCAGCACCCATAGGTACCGCTGCCGAAGCCCTGGGCTCCGAGGCACCCAGCTCCTCCTCGTCCAGGCCCCTCCAGACTGATCCCGAGCTTAGGAACCATGCGGAAGACATGGGGGGTTCTCAGCAGCAAAAGGATTTGGGATATATGGAAGTATTTAGAAATTAGAGAACTTTCTAAAAAAAAAAAAATTACCTACAATTACAAGGTAATTAGGTTTAGGGTTAAGGCTGCACAGTCACAATATCCTTTTAAGCCTATTTTTCTAAGCTACACGCATGAGGGCAAATTAAAAGAAGTCTGTTGTATTCCCTGGTTCTCTTTAATCTTTCATCAGACAAAAATGATAAATAATTCAAGCCAGGGAGCCTTAAATGAAAATGCTTAAATTATTCAGCAAGAAGTCAGTTTACAGCTCTGGAAAAAAAAATAAAGAAAAATAAAGAAAAATAAAGAAAAAAAGAAGGAAAAAAAAAGAGAAAAAAAGTGAAAAAAAGTGAAAAAAGTGCAGTGAGAGGGGCTCCCAGCCCAGCCTGCTGCACACCAAGGAAACTGCAGTGATCTCCAAGCTCCAACGAGGAGCCCCAAGGGACGGTGAGCGCCCGTCCGGCGGCCGAGCCACGGGATGAGCTCAGCAAGCAGCGACTGCCCTTTCCCTGCTTCCTCACAGATTATCTCCCTCCTCCTGCTCCAGAGCTTGGGGTAAGACAGGATGCAAGAGGGGCAGCTCACTGGGTCATGCAGCGTTGCAAAGCACGGAGGTCAATTAATACACCTCTGCTAAGATGCACCCTAATAATCACTCTGCCTAGCCCTGAGAGAGGAAATCCTGCACCAGAGCAGGGAGGAAAAAGTAGAGAATAAAAACAACCCACAAAACCAAAAAGAAAAACCCAGAGGCAGCAATATGGGGCATTCATTACGCAGCATTATTTATACTTTAACTCTTGAAAGCCCCTGTCAGAGGGGTGCTAGGAATTGCTGGACGTACCATCTGCAGAAGCAGGAGTGAGAGGAATATATTCCGTTGATGTCTGGCTGGTCAAGGACACCCTGGCTCCGGTCAGGTCAATTTTAGTGCTCCGGCACGTGTTGGAACAGACCTTAGTGTGCTGGTAGAAATCCAGCTCTCCTGAGTCCATGATCTTCCTGCAACACARGGAGCAAGCACGAGAACATACTTGCATCAATACGGACAGAGCGCTGGGAAACGGCTCCTGTCTGTGCACGGGCAGAGCTTCCACTCAAAACTCGCCAAAATCCTAGGTGAAAAGCCCAGGCCACGCTGCAGCTTTCTGCTTTGCTCCTCCTTTAACACAGTCCTAGCTAGCAAGCAACGGGAAAGCAGGAGGAAGTGTTTCCCTGTAAGAGAAGCAGTTACAAAAATAAAAAAGATCTCGAGAATTCTGTATAACCGGCCAGAAAGGGGAGAACAGTCCAAGGCAAAAGTCTTGATCTCACTCAAGTGTCCCTATTTCTTGGTCTTAGGGTCAATGTTAAGCAAGGGTTAATTAAAACAGTGCCTATTTCCTCAGCCTGTTCCATGCTGGCCACTTTTGTACAAGTCTGAGCACTACATCAGTGCCAGTAAAGTGCTTTCAGCGGCCACGATGGCAAAGGAAAAGCCAGGCAAACACATCATGCTGGGCTGAGGTAGACAGCTAGAACGGATTAGTATTTATGAACATTTTTCCACTGTTTTTTTCTGCTGGATCAAGCTGCATCRGGAGCTTCTTTGACCACAAATGATCTGAGGTGTGATGAATTGATAGCTAGTGTTGCCAGTGATATTGCCAACACAGAGACAAGGTGATGCACAGGGAGGTTGTTAACTAGATAAGCAAAATGTGACCTTATGAGAGTGGAAGGAAGGAGGAAGGTACAAGCTTAAGAGAGCACTGACTGTGTTAGAAGTRAGTTTTACTGAACAACTAGAAGGAGAAAGAGGAAGAGACCAAAAAAGCTTTGCTTAAAAAAATCACTTCATTGAAGCAAACTGCCCTGTTCTCTCCTTCACTGCTGCACACACAGATTAATTAGTAAAAGAAGATTAAAACCAAATGAACGTGATGCCCTCCAGYTTGAAAGGTAGCAATCTGCTGGAGGTGCCCAGCCTAGCCCTCAGCAAACAGAAAGGTTTAGAACAAGTTTTAGGCCGCAGAGCTTGGAGGCGGCTCATTTCCTACACAAGCAAGGCGAAGAGTCGAAGGAAGTGGTGAGCTCAAGACTCAAGGCGTGAGAGCCACAACAGGGTGCTCTGGCAGAGCTGGTGATCTGTGATACAGCGACAACAGAGACCACAAGGCAGCTTCACAAAGCAGGCTCTCAAGAGCAGGACTGCAGCACTCTGAAAAAGATTCCTCTTCTAATCTGTCTAATCACTGAGGTCAAGTTTCTTCAGGCTGACAAAACCAGCACATTTCAAAAACATCTTTTCTTCATTCCCGAAACATCCAGCTTGGGCTGAGAGATTTAAGACACATTAACTTTTCCCAGGGATATATTATCATAAAGTTAAAAATACCTTTAGAAATAGCAGGACGAGTTGCATGCTCTCAACACATCTTCTGCTTGATGGAAGGCTTCACATGAACTTACAGTTTAGGACCCAGTTTTGTAACGCAGCAGTTTAACCCTGCTCTGTGCCATGGCCAAAACCCTCCTTGCAGAGCGCTGTGGGATCAGCTCTGAAGATGCTTCCTCAGCTCGGAGTGATGCACAGAAATACCCCACAGCGTGTCCACGCTTCCATGGGACTCCCACATGGAAGAGGCATCTCTTCATCTCCTCCTCAAAGAAGGGAAACCCCTGGCCTAGAGTTGGTGCCATCACTCTCTGCACAGACCCATGGGCATCTAAGTTCAACTAGCAGCTCTGACGGGATCCAGCAGACTTGGCTTTGGAGGGCAAGAGGAAGGGAAGGAGAACAGAAGGTCTCTGTCTGGTCCTTGGGTCCCCACACAGACACCCGCGGCGGGAAGTTGCCTCCTTCCCCTTTCTGCACCGTGCCATGTAGAAAGAGACGGGATGTATTTCTGGCTATAAACTAAAGTCTCTGCCTAAGTAAAGCAGGTTGCAAGCTGGGCATATATGATCTTCCTCATCTAAACAAGCTGGCCAAGAACAACCTCGGYTCCCTATGATTTGCTTCCGCTGGGCTGCTGCGCTGGCCTTCACATTTCCTTTGTGCAGCTTTTTCCTTGAAAGACCTGCCCTGCAAAGTCTATTATGTCAAATCCACGGGAGCAAAAGCTGCTTAGAGAGAATACGGGAGCCGCCTGCGTTAGCAGGGGAGAACACGGGTAAACACAAAGCCACGCAGTGAAAAGACTACGAAAATACCGACGATTGCTAGGGAAAGAGGGGAGGTATTTATAGCCCGCCGAGGCAGAGAGGGATCTTAATTGAATCACAGTCTCGGGCTGCTGCAAGACAACCATAACGGAATTAAATTCYGTAGTTAAGGCCAGAGAAGATGAAGCGCTTGCATACATAAGCTTTAAATAAGCCTCTTGCAGGAGAAAAGAAAAAAAGTGATACAAAGCAGACGTAATACAATGTTAGTTTATGACCAGACTCATTCCACGTGGTAGGTCATCCCAAGCCTGACCACTAGTTACCATTAAAATTCACAGTGACATTAGGACAGACGAGAGCCCAGTGTAGCTCAAGTTGTAGAAAGGCCAGGGAACCATTTGTTGTCCCACATTACTCCCTCCACACGAGGATAAGCAAAGCCAGTGGATGGACAGTACCGGGGCCAGGCTGTTAATAAGATAAATGGTCAGTGAGTGGTGCAACTGCTCCTGCAGCAGCATGTGTCAGAGCTGCCCCACGCCACCACTTTCCCCCAGAAAGAAACCCGGCTGTGGCTGTGCACATACAAACAAAGAGACTAACCGGAGCATGATCCCGTTCATCCGGATCGCTCGCTTCCAATCCTTTAGGGTTGACTTGCCCGCCAAGTGGACAAACTCCTTGGGGCTAATCAGGTGATTGTTAAACTGCAAAAGGGAGAAAGGCAACATCAGTGTGGCCGAGCACAGGCAGCAAGCGCGCCCTGCAGAAGAGGGTCACGGGGCAGCAGGGCTGGCTGCACAGGTGACATTGCCCGGTGCCCAGCAGCAGTGGAACTGCTCATAGGCCAGGGTTCAATACCTGCTTGCAAAAAGAAACGAAACACAAGCTGATAACGCTCCCACACCTTAAGAAGAGTAACTGAACCCTGAGCTAAGGCCAGTTCCAGCTGAAAGTCAAATATTTCTTTTACACTTAGTAGCACTTGCTCATTATAGCCAAGATTTGGCCTACGTGCTGTATACAGGCGTTTGCTAGATGCCCAACCCTGTTCCATCCCACGGCAGCAAGTGGAAAAGCCAGGCAAAAGATCTCTTGTGGTTTTTGCAAGCTGTTAGTATCAGCATGCTGCTCCCTGCCCCTTGCAGCTCTGAGCACGGGGAGCTTCTGCTGTGGAAGAAGCTCCAGTWTCCAGAGCACCTCAGCTCTGGTGGCTGCCACTCGCAAGCAAGYGGACCAGCAGCCAGATACGGAGCGCTCCTGGTCCCAGGGATGCAGGGAGCGGTGCTACTACTGCCTGGTCTTTGACCTCTCATAGGGTTTTACTATCAGGGACAACAATCGATTAAAGCTCTGAGCGTCGTTAAGGTCACACACCCTCCTCACTGAGGGCTACCTGGGGACGCTGGCATGTACCGCAGCACTTCCCCCGTTTCTCTTATTACCCCCCACACCCAGCTGTATCTTAACTCAGGAGCTAAATAAAAAGCAATCTCCTGAAGCAGGCAGCCCATGAAAGAGCTGCTTTATGRGTGGCCTCCATAAGGACTTCCCAGGTGCAGGTCTCTCCAACACCCATCTCGGGCCAGGCAAAGCTCCTGCATGACATTAACTACATCTGTCTCCCAAGGGCAGAGGCCACAGTGCAAAGAGAAAATTGATTTTACACAACAGCAGAAGCAGCTGAATTGCAGCACTGCCTGTTTCTGGAAAAGGGCATGGCCTTCTCCTTCACAGAGCTCCTCACAAGTTAGGTCAAGGAGATACTCCCTAAAATTGTGCTTTTTAATCAACATCTAAATGCCACTAATGCCCCACTAGGGCATCACAAAGTGCGTTCCTGGATGTGAACATCTGGGCTTCCTCCCCACATCCCTACAGATTGCAACCATGAGCCATGGAGGCCACAGAAGAAGCCATCCAAGAGCTCCTCATCAACCTTCTCACCAAATTCTTGGTTTCTCTCAAATGGAATAAACAGAAGCGCCCAAAGTTTTTCAAAGTGCTCCAAAGTGGAGCTAAATGGAACCTGCACCTCTCTCCAGGAGTGCTCATTTTTGCTGAGGACAAATCCATCAATGCAGCACTAAATGTCCCACCAAGATGTGGTTCTGATGCAAGAAACATTCACCAGAGTCCTCCCAAATTACCTGGGCAGCCCAGGCAAGCCCAGCGCTGGCCCTGGATGGCCCGGCCCACTCCAATTCTCTTCCCAGGAGAGGACAGTGACAGAGGTCCTGCCTCCTCCCGCACACACAGGTCTCATTCTCACCTGCACACACTTCACGTTGATCCCAGGGCACACAAATTTTCGCCATATGAGGTTGGCCTTGCTGTCGCCACAGGTGATGGGGTAAACGATCTCTGCCTCCAGGCTGTCCTCATCTTCAGCCATCTTCACTTCTCACGAGGAGCAGAGGCAGGGACAGAGCAAGAAGGAACATGAGTTGCAACTCCTGATTAACCCATGAGGTTGCACGTACAGTGCYAGAGCACAGTTCAAAAGCCAAGGGTAAAAATATGCAGATGGGGCAGCCGGTTTCTGTGGCCATAATTAACTCATTTTATTAATAAATGTCCAACAAAAAYGCATAAGCAAATTCACAGACCCAAAAAAGTGTATGAAACCTCAGAAGTCATTATTGGTTAGGGCTGAAATTTTGATTCCTTTTATGAGAATGAAAACAATGAAGGCACATTCGCCCTTGTTTTTATAGCGTAATGGGTTTTTTTTAGGACAACTCACTCTTTTGAGCCTCCTCAAGCCAGGTGCTCACATGCCACTGGCCACTGTGCCTTTCTGCAGGGCAACTGCTGTCCAGCCAGCCCAGCCACACGTTGCTGCTGCTGGAGCCTCACGCAAGCTCCACGTTACAAAACGCTCAGGGTTAAGCCAAGGACAGGGAAGTTAAGGGTCTATTTCCTCCCCTGGATTGCACTCTCCATGCTTCCCAACTACAACCCAGTGGTACGGAGCAGATCCGGCGCTGCCAGCCCCAGCTGAGCTGGAATCATTACTGGTTAAATTCTCTTTTGCTTGCCAGGGCAGGAGTTTGCCACAAGCAGCRGGATGGCAGGGCTGTCCTGGCGGGAAGCAGCAGCGGGAGCCACCAGGGCTGTGCCAGGCAGGGCCGTGCCAGGAGAGGGCGGCAGCACTCCAGCCTGGAGGCGACCGGCTCCTTCCTGGGCTCCTTCCCGGGCTCTGCATCCCAAGCTCTGCATCCTGGCTGCACGCCGGACAGTGGGGTGCTCTGCAAGGCACCGGGGGCCCCTCCTTGCTTGGGGAGCCCCTTCGCCCGGGGAGCCCCCCTTGCTCGCGCTCCCGCAGCGCCTGCGCCTACCTAGGACGGCTTCCTTCAGGTGCGTGGAGGCTGTGAAGGCAGCAGCTGCCTCCGCGGCTGCGTTTTCCGTCTCCAGGGTGTCTTCATTGATGTCACCGCTGGGAAGAGGGTTGAATGTGCAAAATTAGGCAAGGTGGGAGCACCATTCCCGCTCCCGCCAGCTCCAAGAGACCCCAAAAACTTTGGAGCCATTTGCACTGTGCCCTCCCATAAGAGGCAGGAGGMAGCCCCGGTTCTGAGGGGCTCAGGTCTGTTTTTTCTTTAAAAAATAAAAATCCCATCGCCCACAGGAGAGGAGCACTGCCACAAGAGCCCTGCCTGACGTCACTTTTAATGGGAGCCGTGCGAAGCTGGCGCCAGGGCAGCCCGTGTGCCCGCGCAGCCCTGCTCCGCGCCCTGCCGCGCTCCGGGGCTGCTGTCAGCACCAAGGGAACTTCTCCCCAGCCTCCTTCAGAAGCTTCTGCCAGCCACTGGCAGCAGCTCCTAGGAGARCTTCCCCAGAAACGCAGGTGTGAAACACTCTCCCATTTCCAGGGTGCTTTAGGGTTGGGAGGAGCTAAACCCAAAGCAGAGAAGCCGCACCAGGACCTGTGCTTCCCAGAGAAGGAGCTCAGAGCGACACAAACCCCATGAAATGTCACAAAATCTGTGAATTCAAGGACAGACCAAAGGCAACAGCAGCTATAGACCTTTCAATGCCAAGCTCAGCCTCTTATAAGCGAACGTTGCGCATTTGGCTCTTCTGATCTGGGACCTCACCATCTCCTTCAGGGATGGATCCTCACCACCACCTTTTAGGGGACTCCCAAGCAAGAAGAGCTCACACTGCTTCTCCATAGATTGTTTGTGCAAATCCCAGCCAGCTCTCAGCATAAAGACTACATGACCATCCTAAGGGGTTTAAAGATGTATATCTGGTTTTGTTACCAAAGAAGACCCAGTCTAATTACAGCAGAGCAGCAGTAAATCTGCTCTTCTTCTTTGGAGGAACAACAACAAAAGTCAATTTTTCTGAATCTTTGGCAGCTTCACAACACACAAACTGTCTCCCAAGGAAGACAGTGTRGGGAACACACACCTGAAACCTGCCTTGCTTTGGTACCAGGAGTGAATTAGAGCAAGAGGCCCAGTGAGTCACCAGTGGCTGCGCTTCCCGTCGGCAATCGGATGTTACCAGGACAATCGGATTCAAGAGCAACCGGTTTTTCCATCCCAGCCCAATAACACACAGCTCCAGGCTGGAACTTCAAAGCATCCCTTGCCCTCCACGCTGCAGGGCTGGCCGGGCGCTGCACAGATCAAGGAGTGCGTGGGAGCCTCTGATGCAGGGTGAGCAACCCGAGATCCTGCTTCACGGAGAGCGAGGAGACGCTGAGGAAAGGGCAAGTTTGGGAAGAAAGGCAACGTATTTTGTCCTGCTGCAACCTGCTCTGGCCAATAACGCTGACCCGTGGAGCGCCGCGCCTGCAAGGGGGATGTGGCAGTAATCACAGATGGTTGAGGCTGGAAGGGACCTCMAGGGATCATCTAGTCCAAACCCCCTGCAGCTTCCTCCAGGACTTCAATTCACCCCCTTTGTCACTCAAAATGACTGAGAATGTTGTTGGGTTGGGATGCCACAAATTCCTTCCTTAGGAGAAGGACAAAGGAACCTGTAAGAAAAATCCAAGCGGGTGGACAAGGCAGCATGCCACTGCCTGAGACATACCTGGGGAAAGAGGGAAAGTGGGCCAGCTTTTCCTCTCTGCTTTCCCCCATTTTGTTCCAAAGGAACAAGCTAGAGGAGCAGATGCAGAAGGGAGCAGGAGAACATTCCAACATCTCCCAAGCCCCAGTGGTTCAGGCCGGGAACAAGCCCGAGCCTTGGCTGGTTGTCATGACAAAGCTGTGGGAGGCAGCAGCGCTCACGTTTCATGGGGCAGGATCATGCTCAAGTTTCTCCCCGGGAGAATCCGCAAACCAGATGGGAGAAGAGGGAGAAACTGAGTGTTGACGAAGCACCCGGCTCGCTGCTGCTTCCTCTGCTGCTCCTACCTAGGCTGAGAAGTGTCCCCAAAATGGGGCCAGGAACCCCATTTAGAAACGCTGGCCAAGTGATGGGACGTGCACASAGAGATCTCTTCCAAAAGAGAGGCTTCTCCCTGACCTTCATTCTCTTTACCTCTGCTTTTTTCAGTCAATCCCAAAACTGCATGAACTAATTAAGCCCTTGTGTGTTGGTTGTATTTTWTTTTTCCCTACAGCAAAAAACACACCCAAAAGAAAGCAAGAAAAACACATCAACAGGGAGCTTTGTCACATTAAGCTGGGTCTCATACAAGTTCCAAGCCTACTTCCCACAGAAGCAGTGATGGAGACAAAGCACAGAACCCAAGTTGACGCTTTCAGCTGCTTTTCTGATGGAAACGGGAGGTGGAAAGAGAAAAGAAAGCAGGAGGAGACCAAAGCAGGCTACAGACCCTCCCAAGGAACGGAAGGGAGGGTCTCTACAGAAGCAACCGTCCAAACCCAAAGCGAGACGGTGGGTGGCTTGTGCTGCCATCTACACCCAATGCCACAAACCCCGCGAGAGCAGCTCAGCCCCAGCCCCGAATCCTTCCCATCCACCCGCCGCCCTCCCCGAGCAGGGACCCGGGGGCGAGGGGACGCAGGCCAGCCACTCGCCACGGCCACGATGCCCCATGARAAGCCCTCGAGGACCCTCGTAACGCCTGCAGAGCCGTCCTTGCTCGCGCATACAGACACACGAAGCCGTCCTCTCCCCACGCTGCAGCGCTCCTGCTTCTGGCTGAGCGCAGACACGCTGGGGAGGTGAATAAAAGTTTCCAAAGCAAAATGGGAGGGAAAAAAAAAGGAAAGGAAATGAAACCAAACCAAACGAGCCAGTCTCTGACCCAATTCATGTTGCCAGAGAATGTAACGCTGCGGCAAACAGACCTGCAAAGGCACCAGCCACATGAAAACCAGGAATGCCCCTGCATCCCAGAGGAGCTGCAGCTCCAACCCAGGCCCGGCTGCTTCACTGCCAAGGAGGAGGTGACTGTAGGCAAAAACAGCCCAAAAGCAAGAGCTGATGCTCTCCTCACACTGTCATCCCTGATTTGGGAACGGAAAAGACTCTCTGGAAGAGCTCCTACCAGGAGCTAAAGCCTTTCCGCAAGTTTTCTGCGGGTTGCTGCAGGGCRATGGAAACAGAGTCTGTTTTGCAGGATAAAACTGGAGCTCCAGAACCTCCGAAACGGAACCGTGCTCTGAAACAACCCAGTGTTATGCTGAAGTAAAGCGTATAACCTGTCAATACCGCCGCTTCCAGGTGTAAAACAAGCGCTGCTTGYGGTGGTGAAAGCCTAAGGAAACTCCAGACAGAACAAACGGCAGTCTAATATCTATAACACCATGAAAAAGAGCCGGGGAGGGGGGAAGTCRCACAAATTCACTTTGTTTTGGAGAAGTGACACCCCACTCGATATTTTGCAATTTCAAGTCCACATTTGCTATTTACATTGCCAGCGGTGATCCCACCCGTGTGTCGCTTATGGTGACAGCAGAGTTTTCCTGCAGAGCCCTGCTCAAAGCCGGAGCCACCCTGGAAGAGCCGCTCTGCTCCGCTACAGTCAYGGAGGCAGCTCAGAGAATGGGCTACGATTACAGGGAAAAGCACCGATCACGCTGGTGCTCGTGTCCATCCCAACACCCACTTCCACTCACATATTTCCTCTGTCCCTTAAAAGACACTTTCACCCAGCTGTCTAAATATTTTTTTACATTGCTTTTTACTGATTTTTCCTTTTTAAGCACTGCTTTTTACTTGGAAGGCAGTTTAAACAGGCCATTTTCAAAGAGCAGGAGCAGAGACCGCTCATTTTTGCTCCCGTTTGCAGCACACGGCAGCAAAACGTCACCAGGTTTGTGCAGATACCGAGCGCCCGCTCTCTCTGCGGCATCAGCAAGAACACAACCTGGGGTTCCACAGGTGTCCCCAAGGTGCTACTGGTGTCTGCAAGGTGCTACTGACCCAAGTGACACAGAGTAAAATGCTCCAATGAAGGATCCATGGGATTTGCTCGATGGGATTCAAGCAGCCCAAACAGGACGTTCTGGAAATGCCTTTACAGGACYCTGGGATGGCTCACGTGGCTTCACGCTGCACAAGGGGCATGGGCAAAGCCACAGGAGACACTCGCTCCCATCCCGAGCGTGGGTGTGCGTCCTGCAGCAGGAGCATTTCCAGAGCACAACCGCTCCRTCGCGGCGCCCGGCGGCGCTCCCGGCGCAGCCGCCCCTTACCCGTGCTGGGACAGGTTGGTGGTGACGAGCACCGTCTTCACCTCCTCCACGCCGCTGCCGTCCACCGTGTCGGGCGTCGTCACCACCACCACCTCCTCCATGTGCACGCTCACGTCGGGCGCTGCCATCGGAGCCGCCGAGCGAGGACACCCACTGCGAGGGCGGGAGAAGACACGCGGTCAGCAGGGCGAGGAAGAGGAGAGCAAGGCATGCAAGGAGGGCTGCAGCAAAGCCACAATCCTGAAGAAAAGAWGAGGAATCCCCAAGCAGGGATCCAGTCGGGACACTCAACCAAAACGCACTTTGCGGCCTCAACGGGAGGCTTCCCTTTCCCTCCAGGGAAGGGGAAAGAGGGGCAGGAGCAGCAAGGAGCACGCAGGAGAACGGCGCCATTGGGAAGGGCTCCTCCACGAGCTGCCTTCTCCTGAGGTTTTAAAACTGTGCAAGGAAACTCGGATGGAAGGCGTGTTCCCAACTGTTTTCCAAGCTACCTTAGGGAAGACTTTAGGCTCACGGAGGAGCTCGCTGCCCCGGTGCAGCAGCAGGCACAGAAATTATGGAGGATTCCTGCAACTGATGCACCCTGCACCACCACAGCCCATCGGAAAACCATACTGAAGGCCGTGTTCCTAACAAATCCGCACCAGCTTTAGGCCAGCTTAAGGCCAGCCCCAGTGCTGGTTTGTCCCCGAGGCGCCGTGGTGTTTTCGGGGCAGCGCCGCGGGCTCCTGCGCCTCGCTCCACAGGGTCCAGCCTCGGGAGYGCTGGGAAGGCAGGAAAACCAACCGCAATGCCAAAAAATGCCCCAAACAGCACCCGGGAGGGGGGAAAGCTTGG